CCCCCCCAGCGGACTCACTGCTCTGAGAAGCGCTTTTGGGCTTTGCGATGTACTTGAGGATGGGGTTTCGCTTCTTGTCCTCAGCTGCAGCCTCCTTCTCCTTCTTCCCGCCGCTGCCCTGCAGCCCCAAAGAGAGGGAGACGGGTCAGGACACCCCGAGCCAGGGGGCTACAGGGTCCCCCGCTTTCCGGCTTCTGCGCCCACCTTCTTGGTCTTGGGGAAGAAAGGCAGCCACTTGTCCTTCTCCTGGGACTTCTCTGGGCGAGCTTCCCGAGGGCAGATCCCCACGTGGGTCATATAGGTCTTCAGGGCAAAACTCATGGGGGGGCTGCCGCAAGAGAGGGAGACAGTCTGGCTGGAGCATCTCTTAGCGTCACCCTGAAACCGACCCCTTCTCCCAGCTCCGCCTCTCCGGAGGAGGGGCGCCTCTTCCCATTGGGACCGCCTATCCCATTCCGGGGGCTGAAACCGGGGCCCCGGACACACAGAACAGACCCATCTACTCCAAACCCCAGGCGGCTTGCTAAGTGTGGAGGAGCAAGAACCACAGAGGGCACTTTGGGAGAACTTTGTTCTAAAGGAAGGGCCTGCCAGAGGCCACGTTTCCTCACAGAGAAGAGGCGGAGAATACACTCAGAAGCTGCAAAGTGTTCGGGGGGCAAAGTCAGCCCACCGCTCTCTTCTGCCACCCCCCAACCCAGTTCTTCAACCAGTGGGTTCCCCTAGTCTTGTGCCTCCCGCGGGAGCAACATCTGTGCCCTTGCAGAGCTGTCCTTGGTCCTGAAGAGGCCTGGCCTAAGTTTGTGCCTATCCAGACACTTAATGAAGTGGTCCCAAGGAATGCCAAATGCATTCTGGGAGGGAGCCTAGGATATTCACCAAGGAATAGTAGGGATGTGCTCTGTTTTTGAAGGGGTCCTGAATAGTTCCTGCAAGTTAACAAATTAGTAATTTACCAGGAATAACCTTAATAAACTTTTCAGCAACCGATTACTTACATTAATATTGTTAAGGTAGTTTCCTGAAATTTCCACGATATGTAGGACTGAACACTCAGAAAGAAAATATACATTTAAAAAGAAAGTAAACCGGGCCAGCAAAAACCAGGACCACAACAAGATGTCCCAAGGTGCTGAGTTCACAGTAGCCACTCACCTCCGATCTTCATATTTGGATCTATAGTGGGGAAAAAAAATACCAAGTCAGACCGCTCCTAAGCCGGTCTGGGCTTAAAGGCACCCCGTTTTCTCTTCTTGTCCATTTAGCGTAGATCAATGTTTCTCAAATTCTGCAACTCCAAGATGTGTAAACTTTAACTCCCAGAATTCCCCAGCCAGCCACTGATATTTGGACTGACCCCTGGCGAACCCGTCTGGCAGCAGAGAATACCGCTATCAGAGGAAGGCCGAGGCAAACATCCCAGAATCATTCTTCCAGAGACGCCAACCCCAAACTCAGCCCCAACACCCACTTCCCTCCCTTCCCCCCCAGTGGGACTCACAGGATGTCTCCCAGCTGCGCCATCTGCTTCTCGGCCACTTGGCGTTCCTTGTGGGGCTCTCCGTCCAGGTCCAGCAGGTCATTCTCCCCATATAAGCTTCCCAGACCCATAGTACGCTTTGTCCTGCAAGCACAGAGAAGGGAGAGGGGCCACAGGAAGTTCTTCCCCTTTTCTCTGCTTTATGTTCCTTTTCACTCTCCCTTTCATTTCCTGCGAGGAGCCATCTTGCCCCAACAACTTCCTGAAAACTGGGCAGCCCCTCATCACACCTCCTCCTGACCCACCGTACGCATTCAGCAGCCAGTCTATTACAGAGCTCTGAGAGATCCGTCCACCCTGATTTTTCCTTTCAATTTCCTTTTAGAGAATCCCTTGCTCTCTGAAACCAACTGAAAGCCACTAGAGCAAACTTCCGCCTGCAGAGCCATCAAATCCGTGGTCGCTTTTTTCCCAGGTTCAACCTCAACCCTTTTCAGTTGGACCACCGATCATTTCAGCTGCTTTTTAAACTTGCATTAAGAGTCATTTTTTGTTCATCTATTAGCCACCTTGAGCGTCCCGGGGGTGGAAAGATGGGGTATAAAACGAGAGGAGGAGGAGAAACGGTGGTGGTGAAGGACGGGGGAGCTCGGCCACGATTGAAAGGAAGAGAAGAGGAAGGGAAACGAAGATCTTCCATGGATCGACTCTGTGCTGACCTGTAATCTTGGATCTGCTCCTGGATCTCAGGCATGACAGCCTCCTGAACCTCCAGGAAAGCACTTCGGGCGTCCTCTCCATTCCGCAGGCGAGACTCTGAAGGATACAAGGACAGCAGCGGGCAGAAGGTGGGTAGGCTGCTGAGAAGATGCCCGAGGAGGGCACAGAGGTGGCTCCCTTACCAACCCTGCAGGCGGCTGTCCAGGACACGGCACCAACGCCACCGCCTCCCGCCCTGCTCAGCCACCCCTTGGCCCCACTGGAATTCCTAGGGGAGAGAGAGACACCTTAGCTGGCTTGGACTCAACGGCTGACTCACCAATTTCTGCCAACAACTGATCTGAGACCTTGACTCTTAGGGGCTGTGGAAGTGACAAAACAAAAACAGAAAACAAGGTTGACCATTCGCAGGGACCTCTGAATGTTCCAGAGCACTGAGAGTGGGGTCTCCCTTTCCTGGGGCCACTCCACCCACACCCTCTTCTGAGAAAGCTGCAGTTCACTGAGGAACCGCACACGGGCAGATGCAAGCACAGCGGGGATGCAGTGAGAAGCGACTGCACAGACTCACCGCAGCTCTGTCCAAGAAGATGTGCCAAATGTCCTTGCCCAGCCCCCGGGCTTCCTTGAGGCTCATCTGCTGGTACACGTCTGCGCACAAATACAGGAGCTACAAGGAGAGCAAGCAGGAAGCATCACAGCACAACTGCAAGCAGTGAGCAAGAGGGAGCTGACGAGGACGAAGCAGGTGTGGAAGGGAGACGCTGCGTTAAAAGGAAGCGGAGTGAAACTGCACTTCCCCAGCCCTGGGAAAGGGGAGGGACCGCACAGGACCGTACCAGGGGACTTGGATCCGCTTGAGAGAAGATGTAGCGCAGAAAAACTCCTAAGTGAGCTGGCCGTGTCTTCAGCTTCCCCAAGTCTTGGAAGAGGGAGTCATTCTGCGGTGGGGGGAAAGAGATACTTACCCAAGGAACAAGTACAGAGGAGCTACCCACCAACTAGGCCTCCCTGCACCTCAAGGACCCTGACTTCAAGGGAGTGCCCCACTTCCAGAGGCATTTCCCAGCAAGAAAAGCTGTGAACGGTGGTGGATTCCCCCTTGCTGGATGTTTTCAAATGGGGGCTGGATGGTGTCCTGTGGGGAATGGCATGGACAGCCTCTCTGTTCCCATTTATGGAAGACTCTGTAAGCTGTCTGTGTACATATGCACATGTGTTTGTGTATACATGAGAAAGAGAAAGCACACTACCTCATTGTCCAAGTATCCTGGATCGTAATCCTCTTCCGGGCCGATGATGGTAGTTCTGAGCGTGTGATCCGAGCTCTGCAGAAAAAGGGGATTAAAACCTTCCCAGAAAAGAGACAGAGGTGCCGAGAGGGCCGGAGAGGGGCAGCCGACGAAACAGCTGCGCAATTGAACATTTCCATGTTCCTACTTAAAATGAAGTGAACAAGCAAACAGAGATAGCAAGCAGAAGGCACATGGCCTGAGGCGGCTCAGGGTCAAACAGCAAGAACAGCGACCGCGTGGTCTGGTCTCCTGAGGGTGCCCTTGGGGGGGATTCCTGAGGATGGGCCCCGCCTGCCCTCACCTGCTCTGCAGAGGGAGAGAAGGGGGTGTCCGAGCCTTGCCGTCGGTGGTGTGCAAAGAGCCGGGAGGCGGCCACAGGCGAGGTGTGCGGACTGTCTAGGCCAGGATCGGAAAGGACAGAGTTCCGGTTGAGGGAGACCTGCGCCAAAAGAAATGGCATTCTCGGGTCAGCGAAACACGGGCACCTTCCCTGGCAAGGTGGGAAGGACCCGCCTCTCCACACTCACTTCACTCACGGAAGGGAAGCGCTCCGTGCCCGAGTCCAAGCCGCTGTCGCCATCCTGGGAGTCGACCGAGAGGCACCCTGGGAGGGACACATTGACGAGTTACAGCCCAGAAAAAGCTTTCTAACACCCGGGCACACTTAGCCTCAAGAAGGGAAGGTGAAGGGGAGACAGGAAAGCCATCTTTAGAAACCGGGAGGGCTGCCCCAGGGAAGGGGGGGGCAAGAACCCACAGGCGGGAGCTTTAAGACCTCCGAGGACCCTTCCCACCCTCCAAGTCTATACCTCTGAAAAGGAACAGCAGCAAAACTCACCATCCGTCACCCGGGAGCTGAAGGAACCGGAATCGCTGGGGAGGCGGGTGGAGTCCTGAGAGGCAGAGGGAGAGTGGGTGGGCGGGAGGAAGCTGGAAGCCCCGTTGGTGCTTCCACAGCAGGGAGAAGTCAGCCTCTTCCGCGTGACGTGCAAGTCCCGAGGACCACCTCCTCTTTCTCTGCCACCCAGCTGGCAGGCATTCAGGCGGGGCCTCCTCAAACCCAGCCCAGGAAAGAGCCTTCCGTTCACCAGCCGCTCTGCCCCCTCTGACTCACCACCAGTTCTCCCATCTCCTGCCGAATCTTGAGCTGCAACTGGCTGACTCTCCGCCGAGCCCCTTCGATCTGCTCCTCGAGCAAAGAAGCAGGATTCTGGCTGTAGACCTCATAGCATCGCTGCTCCAGAAGGAAAAGCCGGGAGGGTCCATAATCAGTGGTTGTGGGCTAGTTTTGGAACAAGACTAACTGGAGACTAGTAGGCTTCAAAGAGCCAGGATCCTTCCAGAACACTCCCTTCGTTAGGAAACTGGAAGCAAATATTTCAGCAGGCTTACGACTCCCAGTTGGTGCTACTCGGTTAGTAAAATCCAAGGATCGAATGGAGTGTGGGGAGGGGAAGGCTGGAGAGGGGACAGGGCAAGAAGGGTCCAGAGTCTGCTCCTGAAGAGGATCCAACCCCGCCTCCTTTCGAACAGCCCAGCAGAGGTGGACCGTTTCCACACGTACCTGCAATTCCGCCTCCTCCTGCTGCAGCATTTTTCTAAGAATCTGCGTGGCGTGTTTCTGGACTTCTGGGTCCTAAAGTGCGTAAGGCCAAGGAGGTGTGAGTCCTGCTCTCCAATTCTGCACCCGCAGCGCCCGTCCAGCCCCCTCTGCAGTACCTGTGGTGGCTTTGGCCCGGCGGTGACACGCAGGGGAGGCGGGGGCAGCGGCGGGCACGTGAACGCATCTTGCGGGGTGCCCGTCTGTTGCCGGTCATGCTGCGATCCCAGGAGCCCCGTAAAGGAAGGAGGGGAGGCCAACAGAGTGAGAGCAACGTAAGCGCCAGCTTGGAGGCAGAGGGGAGAAAGAGAGAAGCAGATGTGGGGCGGGAACACCTCGAGCCACTTCCAACCCAGAGGAAGGGATGACGCTTCCCGGGGACAATGTGGCTGCAGGGGACCCCCTTGGTCACTGTCCCTAGCAGCCGCCGCACCGGGCTCCCCCAAACCGTTTGAAGGCCGGCCTCCTCGGGCCCTGCATCCCAGTCCCAGCCCAGCCCACTCACATTTGATGAGCTTCACTACTTCAAGGTGGGAGGTGTTGGTGACCACCGTCCCATTCACCTGCCAGACAGAGCGAGAACCAGGTCAGGCCCAGCAGCCGGCCAAGAAGCTGCGGGGGGCCCAGGGCGCAGCCCTCCCGGCGGACTGCAAGTTGGGCCGCGTTTCTCGGGGAAGGGGCAGCAGAAGACGAGGAGTCGGGGCGGCCCTTGGGGACACAGCTCACCTTGACAATCCGATCGCCCTCCTGCACCCCAGCCTTCATCGCAGCTCCACCTGCAGAGCCAAGCACAGAGAGAAAGCCATGCGGGGGCCAGAAGGCGCAAGAGGAAGGAAGAGGCGCCTCTGGAAATGTGGATTCCTGCGGGGGGGAAGCTGGCGGTGGGAGGCAAGAAGGCGGCCTTGCAGGCCCTTTAACCAGGGCACAAATGTTATCTATAACGTGCCAAGTTAGGGTGCAGTCCTTCCAGCAACCCCGTAAGGAGGTCAAAACGAATACCTGCCCCACAACTGCAGGTGGGGAAGGAAAGGGGGCGCAGGCTCCTAGCCCCCTCCGAGTTCAGTTCCGCCCGATCCCCCACTGCCCTCCCCCACCAGCAGCTCGACTCAGTTGGGGCACCGGGCCCAATGAAGCAGGAGCCCCCCCACGCAGATACCCGCAGCCCCTCCTCACCTGGCCGCACAGACTGCACCAGGACGATCCGGTCCCCGCTTACGGTGAAGCCAAAGCCATGCTGGTCTTTCTGGATGATGACGCAGCGCTGGACCAAACCTGCCAAGCAAAACACGGCCTCTTTGGCGCGGACGTCTTTTTCTTCGAAGGGGCTGTCCGCTTATTGGTCGTTTCTTCCGTGAGCGGAAGGTCAGTGGAGCCGATCCAGGTTTGGGTGTCAGCCTCCCCCACCCCAACGCCACTTTGGCCAGACTCACACCCCCATCATGCCCTGCCGGCTCAGCCCCCAGGGCAAATCCTGCTGCGCCCCAAAAGAAGCAAAGGACTCACCTGTGCTTTCGCCGGAGTCGGACGGCTGGCGGTGGTGGCTGGGGGAGCGCCGTTCCAGAGCCGAGTCCCCCAAGGAAGACAAGGAGCCCAACCTTCGCGGAGGGAGAGAAAGAGGGGAAGACAGGCAAGGCTGCGGCCCATCGCCCCTGAATGGGCCATGAGGGTGCCCCCGAGACCCCACTTCCTCCCCACAACGCTGCTCGCAGGCCAGAAGGAAATCGAACAGTGAGTCTGAACATGAGGAATCAAAGCCGCTCCTCCCAGACTGACACCATGCCAGCGGGGATTTTGAGGGGGGTCCTAGGGCTTGAGCCCCGAGCCCCTGAGCTTGGGGCAGAGGTCAAACTGAGCTCTCCTCAGCAAAGGGGGGCCGAGCGACCCCCAGCTCGGTCGTCTCCGAGGTTAGACGCTCTGGGCCTCAAGGAGGCGTCTCCTCTTTGACCAGACCAGCAGACCAGCCGCCCCCTCCCTTGCGTGGCTTCGCTCCCCTCCTACTCCCTCCTGAGATGAGCAGGATCTAACCCGGGCGGGGGCCAAAGGAAACATTAGGAAAATGGTGCAGCATGCCAGCAGAAGCGCCAAGGAGGCACACGCGAGATGCTCGGGGGGGGGGGTAAAGCCAGGCCAGACTGCAGAGCACACACTGGGAGAGAAGATGCCCTCGGGGGCGGAAGACAGGCAGGGAGAGGAGCGTCTGATCTTACCAGGCGGCAATGGGGCTGATGGAGGGCACAACACAAGCAGCGGCGCGTGGGGAGACAAACGAGAACGGAGAGTTAATAATGCCTGCCAGCCCTTTTGCCTCGAGCAGAGCCTCTCCGTGGGGCACCAATGCCAGGTCTCCAGGCAAGAGGCCGTGGGGACCCACCTTGCTGTCACCTTTGCCTGTATTCCTTTGTTCACTGAGATGGGCAAGCCCAGCTGACCGTACAGACGGTTTGGAAAAACAGGGAGGCCCTGATTTCAATTTTAAAAAGCCCTGCTCCGCCTCCCGTTAATTGCTTTTTATACAGCTTCATGTTTTTAGGGAGAGCCGCCGAGCATTTTCAAATGGAAAACCCGGGCGCTTAAGAGGCATCTGAGCATTCAGATCTAAGCTTTCTGTCTGAGGCCAGCTGCTCTTTATGCATTTAAATCAACAGTTTCAGACTTCTGACCAGGCTTGGCTTCTACCTGCTGTATTTTTATTAAATGCTATTAAACAGATTAGCGGGAAAAGCCTTCTGAGCTGTCTGCACCTTCTCAAAAGTTCATTCTGCAGCTCTTAGAAGGCCAGTCAGTGCCCATCACTTCCACAGGGCATTAAAAAGGGGCACTGGTTTCATCTACTTTCCAGCCGGGCTTGTAATAACTCCAGATTGATTTTTATTTCAGCGACCACGCGTAAGCCCTGTGGAGCCTGTAAATTTAATAAGGAAAGCATACGGTGGGTTTGTCCTTGTGACGGAGTTTCTTCTGTTTTATTTTATTTCAACGTTTAGCCTGGCTGGACTTCTGGCTGGCCGGTTTCTGAAAAGGCAAATCCCATCGGATGGATTTCTCCCGTTCGCCTAAAGGGCCCAATTCTGGTTTCCAGCCTCTCGCTGGGCTGAACGGGAGCCCGGAAAAGGCGAGAGAGATCCGACTTCGCAGGCCGAAGCCGTGGGCCCAGCCCCGCCTGCCCTTCTACAACCCGCTCAAGAGGGACTCGGCTAAGAGGGCCGGGGGCACCCACAGCTCCCAGGGCCCGGGGAGCTGCTTCGCCTGCGGCCTACAGGGAGGCGTCCGAAACAGGGCAACGTTCCCCTCCAGCCCATCGTCCAACTAACACATCAAGTTTCTACCCAGGTTTCCGAAGCTGCTCTGAACATTTTTATTCCACCCCTTCGTGTCCCACTGAAAGCCAACCAAGCGATGCCAAGTACCGCAAAACAAAAGCATGTGGCTGAAATGAAAACACGAGAAGAACGGAGCGCTAACGCTGCCCGTCCCGGCAGCCAGGCCTGGGCCCCCGGCAGAGACCCATCCGCCCGCTACAAGCACCAGAGCCCTGCGCTGGCCAAGCCGCCGTGGGCGATGCGCATGGCTGTGCCTCCCCTAAGGAGCCCAGAGGAGGAGCTACGCCCGCAGCAGGGCTGGAGGAGAAGCCTCTCCAACTGGCCCCACCCTGGACGCATCGGCCCCAGAAGGACCCAGCAGAACCCATGCTGCTTTTCCTTCCACATCCACCCGCTGTGGATGCTCTCCCCGAAGGAAAAACATCCCTGCGCTCCAGGCTGGGAGGATCCCAGGAGGAAGATCGTCCACTGGGCTCCACCGAATCCCGCTGGGACTCCCCCAGCACCCTTTGTCCTCCCCAGGAAGGCAGGGCCCCCAGACCACCCTGCCTCTTGGTTTATTCCCACTGAATGAAGAGACGCCCACAAGAGCATGGTGGATGACAAAGCACATCAAAAATGAGAATAAAGCAACAACCACCACGTCATACAATATGCTTGGGGGCTCCAGAAAGGCTGGACCCTGCTGTCGGTCTGAGAAAATGACCCACATTGGCCTAGCCGCGGAGTTAAAACCAGGACCGAGGAACGCCGGCAGCAGCTCGGAGGCCAGGAGCGCCCTTGCAGCAGCGCTGGCACCGGAGGTCTCCCCAAAGCCCCATAATATTCCACCCCAGTGGAGACATGGCATCTGTCAGTGGCAGTTTGGTCCTCCACCCCAGTTCTCTCCACGCTGCTTCCAGCGTCAGTTGGGCTCTGGAACTGCATTCAGTTATGCAAATGACGCCGGGGGGCACAGGCATCCGCCTCCGGGTCTGTGCAAGGGGGCTGGCCACGGGGAGCTCCGGAAGGGGAGGCTAACCCCTCGCGGTGTCTGGGGGGACCCAGCGGAGAGAGGAGGATCGCTGCTGTTTGGGAAGCCCCTGCGGCTCAGGAGCCCCGGCGACGAGGTGGGTCTTACCTGGGCAAGCGGGGGTGCCTTTTACTGGCGCGTCTGCCGTAAAGAAGAGAAAGACAGAACTGACACCAAGGAGAAGGCGGCAGCGGCCGAGGCAGCATGGAGGGAGACAGAGAGAAGAGCAGACAGACAGACGTGAAACACACACAGAACGGGGCGGCCCGGCTGAGGGGCTTCTCTTGCCCACACTGCTTCCCTTCAACCAACCGGGTTGCTTTTAATAAAACCCACAGACCCCCCATTTCTCCCCTTTGGTAAATAGGACTGGCTCTTCTCTCGGAATCAGATGCGAGGCCAAAACGCTCCTGAGCTCGTACAGAATGCTGCCTACTCTCGGCCCCTTAAAAGATAAACCCAGAGCACGCAGACCCCGATCTGGCCACCCGCTTGCCCACCCTTGCCCCTCTCCTGCTCAGATAACGGGGCGAAGTCCAAGGCGAACCAAAAATAATCCCTGGCAACTGTGTAGTGAATTAGTTCCAGGGACAAAAAACAGCCCCGCCGTCAGTGCTACCCACTGGACCAGATCTGCAGCAAGCATCAGAGGGAAGTGAGAGGGCAGCGCAGGTGGACCCCAAGAGAACGGCAACCTCGGCCACCCGTGCAGGCCAGGCCTGGGCCCTCAGCCCCGCCACATCTTCCCTGCTTCCATTAACCCACCAAGTCTAAAAAGAGAAAAGCGAGGATCGTTTTGGGGGCTGGAAACAGAAGAAGGAGGCTGGGAGGCGGCTACAAACACCTCCCGCCCATGAGGACTGGAGCATATCTTTTTAAAGACAAAGAGAAGCAGAGCTGGGAAGAGGGGCCACGCTGAATTCCCTGGAAGGTTTTTAAAAAGAGAAGCTTCATCTAGCACGTGCAACAGACATTCAGGGAAGCGTCCAATAATCCAGACCCCATTTCTGGCCTGAAAGGGACAGCAAAGTATCTTCTCGCTCTTAGATAGAAATAACCCCATTTAAATACCCAGGGGTGTTCTAAGCCCTCTGCCCCCAAGGGGAGAAAACCAAGCCCCAAAGGGCATAAAGAGGGGCTGACTTCACCCTCCAAAATGACGCCTTAGCAGCGAAGGGGTATTCGTGCAGATAGGGGAGGGAGGAGTCTCAAAGCAGCCCCCCTCATGCATACGATCCCCTCAAAAAAGGGGCAATTGCAAAGCAACACCGCCTCCCCCACCAACAGACGGGGGGGCCCTGGGGCAGCTCAGCCCCGGAGCTCTGCTGCAGCAAGCAGATTTCTGCGACGGAAAGTCGGCCAGCGACCACAATTACAGGCAGAGGGAGGTAATTACATCTCCCTTCCATCCGATCAGCATCCTTTACCCCCCACTCCCCGTCCCGCTAATGTTGCGCTGGGGGGGTCTTGCATTTTTTAAAAATCAAGCCTCTGTCAAGCCGGAAAGCAGCAGCAATTTTCCAGCCGGGGTCCCCCTCTGCATCTCCTCCAGGAAGGATAAGCACCCGACAGAAAAAGGGGTGCAAAGGAAATATACAGAGGGGGGCAATGCGCCGCTAGAGGAAGCCATGACGGGTGCCCAGGACACCAAAAGGGAGATCCCAAGTTAGGAAAGGAAGCTGATTGCCACACGCCCCGCAGGTTTGCTCGCAGGGGGAAGAGGAGGAAACGGTGAAGTTGGAGGGAGAAGACGAAGCCCCCCACAGTGGCGGCCATGGGACAGCTGGGGCCCGCCAGCCGCCCGCCACGCCTCAAAAAGCCGAGATTCAGGCAAGGCGGCAGAGGCAGCACTGCCTCTCTGGAGGCAGCGTGGCACCAAGCCCTACAGGCTGCACAATTCGGGCATGGAAGAACGCCAGGACTTTGCTGAG